CTAAATTATAAAAATTCTTTCCTTATATAAATACATTGAATCAAGCTAGGCCTCCTAGGCATCATGGGGTCAGGCGTGAGCTCTAAAGCCATATATCGAGAGCGACAGGCAAGAGTTACTAATTAAGGCCTCGCTTTGAATGTGGGTCTTTACAGATTTGGATTGAGTCTGAGAAGGATATGACAGTTGAGTTGCAGTGAATAATAGAATTGAAAAAGTGAAAGCATGAAAAATTCTTCTCATGACTAAACATTAAGGTATCGAAAAAGTAGTTTTTCCGGAACTAAGCCGTAAAGAGGACTTTTGATTCATAGTAGGGGAATTTTTTTTTGGGAAAAGCAGAATTAACCAATTTCCAGAATCTGGAATTCAAAACCGATATAGTTCATCTCATACCTGTTATTCCAATATCGTATCCAAGAATTTTATGGAAGTACATAGGGGCGTACGTTAGCACCAAAGTCACGGCCACCATTTCAACGAATGCGTTAAACCATACAATCCATATTACTTTGTTTGAGAGAAGTTGCTGGAAGAATAAATATTTCAATATTTCTCAAATGCCAAAAATGGCAATTTACCTTGTAAGGAACAAAGCTGTCACGTTCGATATGCGCCCTGGTTTTATCCTTTTGAATTGTTGCCAATTCCTTTTCGCTGACACATTGATGATATTGTGGATCATCTTGGTATAATGCTATCCAAAGTATAAAGACTACAAAGCAGAATGCTGCGTGACTGTAGTAGGCTAGAGGCCATCCACCATGCGTGTTACACAGCTGTAATATCATGTATAAAAATAGGAACCACAGCGAAAGAAAAGCTTGAAATGAAGAGGAGTTCGTTGTACAACAGATTGAAGTAGTTTTTAGCACCACCTAAACAGGGCATTATTTCCTATATAATCGATTCAACTTGACTAAATGTGTTTCCTTAATGGTCCAGTGCCAATAGCCCTTTTGTCATTAATTCCCGATAATCATACTCAAATTCAGAAGACACCC